AATTCGGCATACCTATTGGAATGAATCCAAACTAATAAAAAACTATAATAAATATAAATAGAATATATTGTGAAATGAATATAATTTTAAAAAGGTAAAAATTCTGGAGAGAAAAAAAAGAATAAAATTTAAATTTTATTTGAAAATGTAATTGATGAGAAAATTAAGGATCCTTACTTTTTTTTTGAAATATTCTCTCCCTTGATTTTCTCCCTTTTGTTATTAAATAATTATATTTTTTAAATAAAAACAAATAATAAAAACATAAATAAGATACATAACAAACTTAAATTTGACATTATTACTAAATATTGAAAGTGTTGCTAATGAGCCCTCTTAAATGCTAAAATATTGACATTTTGAAAAATTTCCCTAAAAGAAATGGTGGCTATGTTTGAATAGGGCCCAAAATTTGGTCCTTTAATGGGTTTAATGGAAATGGGTGGTCTTTGAAATTTAAGAAATAGTCAAATTAAATTTAATTTAGAGAATTTGACTAAAATTTAAATAAGATAAATTAATTTTAATGAATTAACGAGCTTTTTAATTTTAGCAAAAATAAAATAATCAATTTAATTGTAAACTAGTGATCAAATCTTTCTTAATTTTAACAAAAACTAATTTAATAGAATACTTACTAAAATTAAAATCCTTTTCGGATGATTTTCAAATGTTTATGAAATATACTAACAATATCTATAAAACTATATGAAAATATATTTACTAATTATAAATTATAAAAAATCGACTAAGATTAATTAAAATGACTTTGGAAAGTATTTGAATTTTATAAAACAAATTATTCCCAATTGTTTGTAAATTCAGAAGCTCATGAATCAATTCTTACTGGGGGGGGGGGGGTATACGCTCAAACTTACTTCTTATTTGAGAAGTAAAGCGGTTGTATCAAGTAAATAACCCAACTAATGAGGTTGGAATTGTTCCCACGAGAAAAATAGTTCAGACTTAATTTTAGTTTATTATTACTATTATTTAGTCAATTATTTCCTTAGAAAACAAAAGACGATAAAAGGGGGGTTTTTATTTCTAAAATTAATGAAATAACTATCTAAATTAAACTAAACCACTAACAGATTCAAATCTTGGAGTTTAATCAATCAATAAAAGCAACTAGGGTTTAAGTGTTTCTCACAGGTTCCTAACTTGATAATTCTAACTATAACAAGTCTTTCCTAGTATCTTGCATGCAAAGGCATAAGTTATGTATTTCTAAATCCTTGGTCCGGCATCTCAAAAATTTCACTCCGCACCTTGGTCCGGCTACGTTTGTTGCTATATTAACTCTTACCTTTACCTCATATTGAGCATTGTATTCGATATTTGACTAAGTTATTACCTTGTACAAATCGACACTAGCCGATAAGATAGTATACACTAATCTATGTTGATAGTTCTTTCCTATTATCTTCCTCCTTGGTCCAACAAGTAGCATTAAGGCGAGTTCTAACGTTGGCCATCCGTTAAAAAGACTTCTAAACGAAAGATTTATCAATACATGCAAGACTATTCTGGAATTGTTATTTTAGTTAGATTTTACCTCATTATTCACCCATGCTTCCCACAACCCTAGTTATGGAGTTTAGTTACCCATAGTCATAATCACAATATTCCTATATTTAATATAAGAATTCATGCACTTACTTTAATGAGAAAGAATATAATCCAGAAATTCATTTGATTAATCAACAAAATCGCCAAGAATCAATTTCAGAAAAAGTGTAACAATTGTTGAAATTAATCCTTCAAAACTTGAACAAGAGAACTAAAGATTCTCTCAAAAGCCTAACAATCAAAAAGTCTAATAACAAAGAGTCTACTACAAAAAGTCTAACCCAAAAAATGAGGTTTTTCGAACTATTTATAAAAAACAAAACCTAATAAAAGAAGGACTCTAATTACTGAAATTCTATCAAAACGCGTCCGAGTCAACGGACCTCGTGACGAACCGTCGTCCCACACTTCACAAATTCTTCTTCTGTTGTCGTCATTACCCTCGACGAAAAGGTATGACGGACCATTCCAAGCACGACGGTCCATCGAGGGTCTCCGTTCCATAATACTTAAACTTCTTAGAATTTGGGTACTGTGATTGCTCTCTGATCATCACGATGAACTAGTAGAATGGACCGTCATGAACTTTCGTAATCCCACACTCGGTCATACTTCCCTATCTTCCTTCTGCAGCTTCACTATGTTGCCACCTACGGACCGTCGCAAGCTCGATGGACCGTCATAAGCTCTGTAGGTGGTAACTTTACTGCATTTCTTACTCAAAAACTTCCACGTTCATCTTTGGACAGATTTCCTACAAATAGAAACTTACATAAAAATCAATGCAAAACGGCTTTTGAACACACACTAAACTTAAGAAAACATCATTAAAAATGCGTGAAACCACAGTATATCAACACTCTCAACTTAAATTCGTTGTTTGTCCTCAAGCGACGACACACTATGACTCACTACAAAATCTTTGTACAGTAGTATCCATATTTTAGCTTTCGCAATCATTTGGCTATCGATCCCGATCAGTCTCATCATATTTATGCATGTTATCACTATTACGCTTGAATTATGTGGAATCAGACCATGACACAGACTCATCACACACTGACATCTATCCTCTTAAATTTCTCACCGAGGTGCTAATATTTCCGGTATTGCTACAAGTGTCCTTACTTCAAACAACATCCTCATTTTTCACACAATGATTTCAGTTTAAGTATAAGGGTTACTTTTCAACACTCACTCTCAGAACAAATTCACAACTCATTCATACGTATTATCATAAGCTTTCCCTTATTTTCACTTCTATAAGTTCGCCATACAACTCTGAGGATCACGATAGAACTTTCTTAGCTTGTAACATAGGCTCAGGGTCAGGTAGGGTATATCTATGTATACTTTAGTGACTTTTTTGCCCTCCTTGACATATCGGCTAAACGTACCACTTTTTATTGTTTTATTTTGCCTCATTTCTCATATTCTTTCACCTTGCTATTTTCCCTTCTTTCTTCATTTGTGTAAGTGAATCTTTTTCTTTTCTTGCTTATATTTATTATATATATATATATATATATATATATATTTTTTTTTTAATTTCACTTTTCTTTCAACTGGTTCTTGAGTCACTTTCCTTTTGTTCTTTCTCTCACTTTGTTCTTTCAACCCCACTTTCCAGAGCATTTCTCATAATAGCCACCGTCAACTCATGTTTTTGCCATAAGTCAAAGTACACAACACCCAAAGTTGGGTCAGGGCCATGAAAAGGTTGTTTACTGCATTAGCCACCCTCAACTTATGCTTGTGGCATAAGCTGAGGTGCACATATCCAAGGAGAGACTAGGGCCAACACATTATTCCCAGAAAAGATCATTTGGGGTGAAA